GAACTCGATCTTTCGTCCAATAGTTTAGTCGGGGTGATCCCAAAGAACTTTGGGAGATTGACTTCTTTGGTGAATTTGATGTTGAATGGCAATCAACTTTGGGGTCCTATACCCTCAGAATTTGGATCGTTGACTGATATTGAATATCTTGACTTGTCCACCAACAAATTCAATGAGTCAATTCCAGTCATTTTTGGCGACTTGCTCAAATTATACTACTTGAATTTGAGCAATAACAAGTTCAGTCAAGAAATTCCGTTTCAGTTGGGGAAGTTAGTTCATATGTCCCAACTTGATCTAAGTCACAACTCACTTGAGGGTAAGATACCATCAGAAATGAGCAGTATGCAAAGCTTGGAGAAGTTGAATCTTTCCCACAATAATCTTAGCGGTCTCATTCCAACAAGTTTTGATGAAATGCAGGGCCTGAATGACATCGACATATCCTACAATCAACTGCAGGGTCCAATCCCCAACAACAAAGCATTTCAAAATTCTCGGGTGGAAGGGAATGACGGATTGTGTGGCAATGTTGGAGGACTAAAACCCTGCAATCATTCTGTGGAACATAAGCATACCTCAAAGAAGGCTTTCTTAATCATTTTCCCTATCTTGGGAATACTTTTACTGGCTTTCCTGACATTTGCTTTGATCGAAAGAAGAAGAAGAAAAAGAAGCAAGAAAGACTCGGAAATAGAAGGGAGCGATATGCACGAAAACTTTTTTTCAATCTCTAGTTTTGATGGAAGAAAAATGTATGGAGAAATAATGAAAGCAACCAATGTTTTTGATGTCGTCTATTGCATCGGGACGGGAGGACAGGGAAGTGTGTACAAGGCAAAGTTGCCATCAGGCAGCATTGTTGCAGTGAAGAAATTCCATCAAACACTTGATGGGGAGGAGGCATCTCGGGAGGAGTTCTTTAATGAAATAAGTGCATTAACTCAGATACGACACCGAAACATTGTGAAATTTCTTGGTTTTTGTTCAAGTGCCCATCACTCGTTTTTGGTCTATGAGTATCTGGAAAAAGGTAACTTGGCTGCAGTCTTGAGCAAAGAGCATGAAGCTAATAAGTTGGACTGGAGTACAAGGGTGAGAATTGTAAAGGGTGTAGCTCATGCCTTGTGTTATATGCATCATGATTGCTCACCGCCTATTGTGCATCGAGACATAAAAAGCAGCAACATTTTGCTGCATTGTGACTACGAGCCTTGTGTTTCGGACTTCGGAATTGCTAAGCTTTTGAATCCAGACTCGTCGAATTGGACTGCTCTTGCTGGCACATATGGATATGTAGCACCAGGTAAAATGGAAAAATATAGAACTCTCTTTTTAAAATTTAATTAATATTCAGCCTAGATTTATCCATATTGATGGTTTGGTATTCCTGAATTTGTATGCAGAGCTGGCTTACACAATGAAGGTAACAGAGAAATGTGATGTTTATAGCTTTGGAGTGCTGGCACTGGAAGTGATTATGGGAAAGCAGCTAGGCGATTTTGTCTCCTCCTTTTCGTTTCCACCCACGACCTACTCAAACATTTTTCTCAAGGATGTGTTGGACCAACGCCTTCCCCCTGCTACACCTCAAGTTCAGGATGAACTCATAACCATTTTAAGGCTATCAATTGCATGCAGAAATTCTCATCCACAATCGAGGCCAACAATGTACATGGTTTCTCAGGTGCTATCTTTCCAAACTGCTCCTTCCTATAAAGGAGCAGACGATATTACCCTTGAACAACTCATTAAGATCTGAATTGCTTCTTGTACGTAATCTATGAGGTTTTAACAATAATAAGATCCTCTCGTTTAAACATATTGTAGTCAGACTCATTTTTGTATTTTCTTTCTGTTAGTTGAAGGGAAAAGAGAGGCTTAGAGAATAGTTGGTTTACTATTTAGGACAATATTCTTTATGTGGAATAGAAAGCTTTTGAAAGAGTAACAAGATTATTTTATTTTATTGATTGAAATAAGATACAAGAGTCGGCTAATGGGAGGAGTTAGGCAGCTGTAGATTTCAGCTTTCCTTGATTGAATACATATGGGCTGCTAATAGCTTATATATATAAGAGTGCTATGTCGGCAGCTTGCTTTGGAGAAGTCGGTTGCTCATGCAATTGACTTTTCCAAAGTTGTTTACAATTTTTCTCATTATTTAGATTTCTCTAGTTATAGTACATGGATATTTCTAACTTGTCTACTTTCTCTCAATCTTTCTATATTTTTCTAGATTATTCAAGATTTTTTTTTATAGTACAAGTGTGCATGTTACTTTTTAACACTTTCATATAAATAAACTTTAATTCGCATGTATATTATTTTTAAGCTAGATTATAATATTCTATACAAGTACTACGTACTGAGTTCGAGTTTGACCAGATTATCCTATTTACTACCACCTCTTATGGAAAATTCGCATCACAAATTTTCATTTCTTGGACTAAAGCTTGGGCTGAATTTAATTTTCCTAACGGCTGATGCAGTCCATATAACGATGCAAATCAAAAATGTTATGTTCTACCAATTATAATTAGAACCTTCAATGACTTGAGTCATTCACCAAATTGCTTGGACATTTTAAATATTGAAAAGCACTAGAACATGTGTTCTTGTTGTGCGGTGTTCTTTGCAAGTAAATAAACAAGCAAAAAACTTATACCCTAAGCTTGATCAACCACATCCATATTTCCACTAACGACATACATTACATATTTTTAGGGCTCGTCATTAAGCCGGGCCCCGAAATTTTTGGGTTCGTGCCAGACCTTGTGGGCTTTATTTTGGGCCGGGCGGGCCGTGAAGGAAACACGCTTTTAAATTTATATTCTATGAATTTTAGGCTACAACATACACGAATCTAATATTCAAAGAGGCGGAAGCGAATTTTAGTTCTTATTGAGCCGAATGCTATCAAATTTCCAAGAATATTTCTAGGTCTAATCTCATTTATGCACAAAAGAAAAAGGGGAGGAAAGGCCTTCTTTCATATGAAGGCTTTCTTTCAAAAGACTTTCTTACCCTTGAAGGTCTCTTGGATAGTCTCCAAGTTTTCACCTTCAGAAAGGCTTTCTTTCATATACTTGCTTCATAAATTCTTCACAAGGTATCAAAGTATCTACACTCTAGTTCACCATACCAAATGTTTAGAGGATGAAGAAGGAAATAACGAAAAGGAGGAGATGCTAGACTACCTGAAAACGACCGGTCGCAATCCCTGGCGACCGGTCGCTTTCTGCGTTTTTCCAGAATTTCGACTATGCTTTAAAACGACCGGTCGCGCCTACTTGGCGACTAGTCGCCTCCTGCTACACATGCATCTTAACGTGAGCCAATTTTTCCAACATATTGATGGTTTGCTCTACCTAAATTTGTATGCATAGCCGGCTTACACAATGAAGGTAACTGAGATATGTGAAGTTTATAGCTTTGGAGTGCTGGCACTGGAAGTGATTATAGGAAAGCAGCTAGCCGATTTTGTCTCCTCCTTTTCGTTTCCATCGACGAACTTTCCCCTCTTGCACCTGAAGTTGTAGATGAACTCGTAAGCGTAAGGGGCGGATCCACATAAGGGCAAGAGGGGTCAACTGACCCCTTCAAGCCCGGAATCCACCATTGGAGGTGAAGATGTTGACCCCTGCAAATTGTCCACAAACTACTTGATGAAATGCTCAAGAGGGCTTTTCTGTCTTTGTTCTTTTACTTTCATTTATTTTTATATTACTCTATTTACTTATGTTTACAGTGTAAATAAGGAAGTACCCCCATTTGGATTCAAATAAAAATACTAGAAAATCAAATTCCCACCAAATTAAAATATGAAAAATCAATTTTAGTGCAAAATACGATTTAGGCTAAAAATGATGGCTCATTAAGTAATATATATTCATACTAAAATCCCATGAAATCAAGTTTTCTTATGTGATGTGTAAGGAATAAAAGCCGCCAAAAATTATCTTTAGAAAATGATTATTTCGAAAAACAATTTTTAGCCAATATTTTTACATAAAACAATTTTTCATATATGAAATGAATGCATGAAGGCACCTAAGGTCAATCTAGGTAAAAAGCCTTAGATGTTCAATCCAGAAAGAGTTTTACAAGAATAACCTAACTCTTACATATTGAAGAAATATTTGCTTGAATAAGCTCCCCCTAAGATAGTACTCATAAGGGTCCAAAGTTTGAGAGCTAGAGCCCAAAAGAAATAATGCAAATAAAGCTCAAAATCAAAATGACGTAAATGCTTTAAAATGAGCAAGATTGCGCTAATATATGTCATCTCTTACGTCGAATAGGACAAGACGCCTTGGGAGGCGAAGAGGATTATGCTAATTTTTTTGTTTTATTATCACATTCTTAGATATATTTTTTGTTTATTGCAGTGTGTGTCTATTTTTTGAAGTTGAAGCATTTCTTTTTGATAATGAACATGAGTATTTTATATGGTTTTATCTATTTTGTATAAATAAATAAAAATTAACCTTTTACATGCTAAACCCCGGAATGAAAATTCCTGGATCCGCCACTAAGCGTAACCATTGCAAGGCTATCTATTGCATGCAGACATTCCCATCCACAATTGAGGCCAACAATGCACATGGTTTCTCAGGTGTTGTCGCTCCAAACTGCTTCTTCCTGTGGAGGACCAGACGATATTACACTTGAATAACTCATTACGATCTGAATTGCGTGTGACATATTGTAGTCATTTGAGTATTCCTTTTCGTGTATCAACTTTAGCATGTGTATTGTTTTTCAGCTTGGTTAAAACCTTCTCCTATCCTTTCATACATAGTACTGAGTTCCATTTTGTACCAGAAGTAAACTGGTTTGACCAGATTATCCTATTTATTACCACCTTATATAGAAAATTCACATCACAAATTTTAATTTCTAAGACTAAAGCTTGTGCTGAATTTAATTTGGCTGATGACTAACGCAGTCCATATAACGATGCAATCGATGCATTTAAATATGTTCTGCTCTACCAATTAGAATTCATAAACTAGCAATCTCGTTCAATGACTTTGATTGATGAATATTCAGTCATTCAACAAATTGCTTGGACATTTGAAATATATGGAAAAGTACTAAAACATGTGTTTTTGTTGTGCTGTGTTTTTGCATGATCATAGAATATGTAAGCAAGTAAAGTGGCCATGGCCAATAAAGAAAGGAGAGGCAAAAAACTTATACAGCCTAAAAGAACAACCATACAGAGAACTATAAGATGACCTAAGATTATACTCCCTTCAAGGTCGATCAACAAGATCCATATTTCCATAAGCACCAAATCACCCCTATTTCCGTTCCAGTTTATGATTGGTAAAGAACAGTTATATATTGTTGTTGGTGGTACAGTCCGCACACTCAACCCCTTCCAGCGCCGGGCGGCTTTGTACCTGGGTCTATGGACGTTTCATGGTTAACAATCTTCATCCTCGAAAACTCCGTATCGATCTTCTCTTCTGAAATGAGAATACAAAACTTTATTAATAACTAATCATGCTAAACAATTTATCAATGTACACACACATATATAGGGCGCTCCTAAAGAGAGATTTCTTTTGTTTTCAGAAAATTGGAATCTCTTGTGACGCCTTCAATAATCTAAACCATTTCAGTCTCTATTTAACTATTTGGGAAAGAGACTAACTGGTTTCTGAAAATTGGGAAACTCCGGCAAACACAACTTTGGATGAGAACAACAGCAATAGGATGAAGAGACTCATGTAAACAGCATTGGCCTTGGGAACCATTTTTTATGATAGCCAGGTATAAGTTTCCCTCCTCCTTTCTCAATCCCACACCCCCAACTTATATTATATATATTGCTTGCCAGTAAACACCCACATATAAGGGAAATTAATTACAATTAATATGGAAATCCTTGGTATGCAAGGAAAGTCACAAGTCACGACAACACTCCCAGTCCCACATCCACCTTCCTTGTATTATATGTATAATGGAAGTAAACACCTTTCCCAATCCCACACCCAGCTTCCTTATATATAATGGGAGAAGACATCACATAAGTTGTAGTTATTTCCACTGATTAGTTATCTGAACAAAAGTCAATTGGTACATACTAGTGTTAAATTATTTCATTATGAAAGGTATCGATGTGACTAAACGTGGAACCACTGCCTTATACTATTGTATTTGGTAAAGTTTCTGACGTTGTATTTTACATTATTTAACAGCAGAAACAAAGAATGGACAAAAGTAAACTCTTCTATCAATTTCATCAGTTAAATTCAACAAGAAAATTCAAACTTTCCATCTAAATTTATGAATAATTGTAAGAGGATGATATCCAAACAGCCTTATATTAATGGGTGGTCAAGTCTCAACCATAAAAACTTGTGGATCATTGGATCTATTGCGGAAAGAGAAACAGGGCATGTAGAATAATAGCTATGAACAAAGCCATCAACTATTACATTAGACTTATTTATAGACTTTACAAGACTTGGATACCAAGGTTACTTGGTCTAAAAGTAAACTAATTATCTATAAAATTACACATAAATAATAAAAGATATCCTAAAACTAGGGGTCTACAACATCCAATCCAATCCGCTCAAACTAACTGATCCAATCCATTCTGCTCAAACTAACCGATTCAATCCATTCTGCTCAAACTAACCGATCTAATCCAATCCAATCCAATTTCAATTGATTTCGATTATTTGGCCGATTAAATTAGATCCATAATTTTCAAAACCTACATGACTGGATCGGATGACGGATTTGCTTATGAAAATCCAATCCAATCCAATCCAATCCAATCCAATATAGTTAGTTTAATGCTTATTTTGCTCTCGTAGGTATTTGTAGTTGAAAAGGTTATGAATATTTTAAGTCATTTAATGGAGTTATGTTTAATATATTATATAATCAAAACAATTTTCTCTAGTATTCCATTTATATTTACATTTACGATTATTAATTTGTTTGATTAATTAAATCTAAGGATAAATGTTTAATATTTCATTATTGTCTTTTTCAATTATCAAACCGATCATTCAATCCAATCCAATATCAATTGGATCAGATCAGATTGGATTTAAACATCTAATAAGATTGGATCGGATTGATAAAATTAAAATCCAATCTATATTAGATCGGATGCGGATTGACTAAATTATATTGGTTTCGAACCGACGTACACCTCTACCTAAAACTACCTAAATAAGAAAATAACAATATCTCATGGAATAACTAATTAAACAATAAATATATATCTTGATCTACCCCATATGCTCCAGTGTCAAAGCCACTTATAAGATATAATATATTTGGAGAGAACTATAAGATATAATCTAAGGGTCCATTTGGATGGAAGTATTTTAAAGTTAAGGATTTAATGCCATTATAATTAAGGTTAAACCAATACTAAATGATTTTTTTTTTTTTTAATACAATCAATAGTCTAAACTACAATGAGGAGGGTTGTTTCTCACACACACTATCAAGTGTCATAGGGGTTCGAACCTGAGATTACCAGTTTGCAAATCAATGCCCTTTTTCACTGAGTTAAACCTCGTTGGCAGGTTAAATTATAAGATTACACTACTACAATTATGTATCCCAAGAGTTGAATGAGAAAGAAATAATGAAGAAAACAAATGTATTCCACATGACTCTTTCCTTCCATTTTAATGGAATTTCAATTTTTTAGGTTAAAATTTTTAGAAAATCATGAATGTATAAACAAAAATAAAACCAAGAAAAATTAACCAAAAAAGAAAAATGGTTAAATCATTTTAAAATAATTTAATAAAGTTGGGGATTTAAAGTTTGAATCTTTAACGTTGGAGGGAAAAAAATGTTTGAGTCGGGCATATAGTTGTATTTGGAAGTGAAAATTTTGAGTTTATAGGCCCATTTGCATTGGAGATCGCCTAAGGAAGAAGCTTCAACTAGCCAATACCTACAACAATCAAGGGTGTCAAGCAAGAGCTCACCAACCTAAATCAACTAAGGTGCCCAATTAGCACTGTTACAATTCACCGGCAATGATGGGGTCATCATCAGTTACTGCATTTACCGTCTTCATATCATGTTCTGTGAATCGATCCATCATGCTTTGTATAAAATTGGTGTGAAAAACACTTTCCTCATATTCCAAAACAAATCCTTACAGTCCTATAAAATTCAAATGCAATCATATATATGCCAAATTTGAGAAGGGTCAGACAGTAGATGTTTATAGGTATGTTTTTTAATTTATCCCGTTCCGGGACCACCTGAAAGCGCGCCACCTGGTTTTGAATGTGAGCTAATTTTCTTTGCCAGGTTAATATTATTCATCTTCAGAAGCTCTTTACCTTCGTTCTCTTATGCAATGACAATATATAAAAAAAACTTGATTAATAATCAATCATGATAAACAATTGATAAATGTATACATACATATACATGACCATTCCACAGAGAGATTTCTATTGTTTCCAGAAAATGAGGATCCCTTGTGAGGCCCCATTTGGCATTGTAATTCAATAATATATATATTTGGGAAAAGTCTCACACTGGAGAATACATAATAATTTACAATTCATACGTCCACTATTAATTGCACTCACACCGGAGAATACATAATAATTGGGCCTTTCTCTCTCCTATGTGGTTGACGTAGAGAGACAATAACGCAGGAGATCTGGACTCCTCTTTAATAGAGGTGGCCCCCACATAGGTAGGGCCTATAAATAGCAGACCGTCAAATTAAAAAATAAAAGAGATATTTAGTCATATACTCATTCTTAGCACTAAAACTATAAATAAATCCTACACCATTTAATTTCTATAAATAAATAAAAACCCAAAAAATGACAGTTGGCTCTATTGAATTTCCCTATCAAGTGTTTTGGGCTTTTTTATGAAGTTTTGGGGTTGGATTTGTTTTAAGAAATCAATGACAGTTTTGTAATTTAAAAGAAGTTAAAAGTCTTTTTGTTATGTTGTAAATGGGCTTTGGGGTATTTCTAAAGTCCATTTTATATAGGGTTTTTTAATAATTTGGATTCCTATATTGGGTATAATAGTGAATCTCCCAGAATAAAATCACTCGATCAAAGGAGTTACAAAGTGGGAGGGTGATCCTCACACTTGTACAAAACGTCTGTCTTTCGGCTCTCACTCATTGGCCTTATAATGATTCATGATTCATGTCGGCTGTTTGGTCCCTCTTTTGCTCCTTTACTTTGCTTTTTCTTTTTTCGTTTGGTTTGTTTGTGGTGTGACTAGTCTGGTTTGTCTGGCCCGTGCGTTTGCAATTATTTTTTTGGGTGTGTTCATATGTGCTTGATAATTATGTGATTGATTTTCCACACTTGACTAAGATAAGAGAATGACTCATAAAGATTAACTGATTTGGGTGATAAACTTGATGAAAAACAACATAATCTAAAGTGATTGATAATTCAACCTACAACCCAACAATCCTAGAAAGCACCAAGTTGTTTATCAGTGGATTATGCATGAACTTGTCTATAATATCATTGAGACAACCTTCTGCATACTATTGTTAACCTGTTCTGTCACAAAAGGTGTTGGTGTTATTAGCTGACTGAGACGAACGGGGCATGTAGAATACTAGCTACAAATACAACATTACAGAAACAAAAACCATGACATAATTATGCTCTCTGGCCTTATCTTGTATGGTTTGATCAGCTGTTTTTATCACCAAACATTGCTTTTGCTTCTGGTTTGTATCAGAGTAAACTGGTTTGATGAGATTATATCCTATTTAGTACCACCTCTTATGGAAAATTCACATCCAAATTTGATTTCGTCGACATGTACAGAAGCCTATGCTGAATTCAATTTGCCTGACAGCTGCGGCTGACGCAGTCCATGTAATGATTCAATCGATGCATTTGAATATGCTCTGCTCTACCAATTAGAATTCATAAACTAGCAATCTAAGATTATTTTCCCTCCAAACTTGATCAACCACATCCACATTTCCATACTGTTTTATGACTTGTAGATATAAAACAGTTATATGTATTTCTTTGCTGCTTGCAGCTTCAATTCAAACAGTATGGAAATGTGGGTTCCTCAGTTATTTACTTTTTACTTGCAATTCACTGAGAATGATGGGTTCCTCAGTTACTGCATTTACACTTTGCATCATCTCATTTGCACTGAATCCATCATCTTTGGTATAAAAAAAGTGCAGCACTTTGCTCATGTTCCAAACCAAATCCTTGCAAGCCCTTGGTACTATGCTACCCGTCTCCTGTAAAACTAATCGTAGCAGCTCTCCCCTCTTACTTTTTATAATACTATTTATCTCATTGATGGCCTCTTCTTCAGTAACGACACCGTTCCCACGAATCATGGTCAACGATAGAGCATTTAGCTTCCCTTCAGCGGAATCCCTCTGCAACACAGCCAGGAGTTTTGAGTTAACGATAACAAATTGGATACTATAGTTTTTCTTTTCGAAAGAATAATGTGGGGATATTGTCTACCTTGAAGCCTTGGATATCATTCAGAAGACGTCCACAGGTGCTCATAAGTCTATACAGCTCATGCAATTCGGAACTTCCTACAACCTCCTCTGAAAGCTCATGCCCAACAAAATAGAGAGCTGGAAGGACAATTTGTCCAATGCCAATTGATATATATCCATTTGTCATATACTCCTCCATCGTTGGCACCGACTTGTTTCTCAACCACTCAGCTTCCTTCAGCCCAGACTTGAGCAAATCCAACCACTGAAAATCAAATATAGCTCATTTCATCCCTATTTAAATGAATAAAAACAAGTTGAACTTGATAAAAGAAGCTGTTGATAGAGGAAGACTGTGTGCTTTTAGAAAGGAGAATTAAAAGATTTTAACTTACAGTCTCAATTATGTCACTTGTCACACTGCGTCCTTGTCGTACGAATGCCTTGACTCCAATCTCATTAATTGTGTTCTTAAATGCTGAAAATATAATTTCAACATGCTCGGAACAACAATCAACACTCGCATTCACATCCCACCTGAGGTTCAGACACAAGGAACTTTAGGCCCTCAATGCCAGAAAAACAAAATAAGGAGCACAAGCATAAATTGCTGACCAACAAATTGATCCAATGGAAATAGGGAATGGGAACAGGAAACGTACTTCTCGATCAATTGTATAAGGTTTACCAGCTCTTCTTCAGAACCTCCAACGTCAGTGAAATCATCAACCACAGTTGTAAGCACTCCATTTTTGGCCCATGACATGCGGGCATCTGATAGTTCAGGAGGGAAAAGGTTTGCAGCAGCAGAGAAGTAACAGCAGGCCTGTTTCTGCCTAGAAAACTTTAGCTTGTCTAATCTGTTCTCCACAACCCACCTCCACGACCTGCATTTCCCTTGTTTCAATTGAAATCAAGGTCAAGTGGATATATCTACCTTGCAAGATGGTAGAGCTCTTTATGGTGTATAGACTGGCAAATGTTGAAGTCTTCCACTGCCAGTTTTAGAAAATCTTCATTTCCAATATTCAAACAACTAGCATGAGAGTACAAGGATAAATAAGTAATCTACATTGATCCCTCATAATAATTTGGCAGAAATCAAATTCTTCTTAAAATAGAGGGAGAAGAAGAGAGAGACAGGAGGAAATACTAGAGGTTTACCTATAAGATGATTTTAAAATTCTTGTACTCTCTGTGTTGTAAGATTTTATTGCTCTCCTGCTTGATAACCGGCCCAAACTTGCGTAGAAAGGAAACTTAAGAGCATCATCCACCTTCAAATAATCAAAAGGTGAAATTTGAGGGAATTACCTTGTGATTATAAAAAGCTACATTACTGTGGGCACCAAATTAAATCCGAACCCTAATTCCTTCCATTTGGGGATTATTTGACCTAATTGGGAATTTCTAAACCTAATTGGGAGTTACTCAATTTAATTGGGGGGTTATCCAATTAAATGAGGAACAAAATCAGTTTGGAAATTAACCTACCTACCACCATTAGGGATTTGATTAAATTCCTAATTAATCAAATCCCTAAATACACCAACCCCACTAACCTCACCTACCACAATTAGGGATTTGATTAATTCCCTAATTAATCAAATCCCTAAATGTACCAACCTCACCTACCTCACCAACCTCACCAACCTCGTCAAGGCCCCCTATAAATACTTGGCCACTCACAAGGATGAGGTACGTCAGAATTTCTACTAAAACTCTAGAGAGCTCTTCCCTTCACAAATCCTAGCCACCTCCTCTCTCTCTCTCTCTCTCTCTCTCTCTCTCTCTCTCTCTCTCTTTTACATAAGGCTCCGGCCGCCCGGTTT